ATCAGTAACAGATATTCCACTGGAAGGGGGGCAGACTTCCCATGAGCTTCAGCAGCGGGAAGGGCCTGAGCAAAGCTATGAAAGCAGCAGCCAGACACCGTTCCAGGCGGACACTTTCGAGATATGGCTCTGTCCTGGTGATAGGCGATCACGGAGCACTCAGCCTTAGAATAACCCCGTGTCCCACGGGAGTTGGAAACGAGAAGGAGGGAAGACAAGGCTTTAAGGCCGATGTTGCTCAGGGCACCCCTGCCTATCTTGCTATGGAGTTGTAGAGTCCCATTGAGCCTACTGCAGGGAAGGGTGCTCCAGCKAAAGCACAGGCACAGCCTCCAGCTCCCAGGCACAGCGGCATGGGGTGAAACATCAAGGCCAAGGCCAGCAAGGATTACGGTCCCCCAGCGCCCTCCCTGCACAGTTTGGTCTCCAGAGATGAGCAGAGAGACAGAGCCACTGCTCACGAGTGACCTGGGGTGTGAGGAGAGACAGACAAGGCGACCAAGGGCTGTCAGCGCACAGCTCAGGTAGGTGCTGGGCGGGAATGGCAGCGTATCCACTATTTATGAGGAGCAGAGCGCTGCAGAGCGCAGCTGCGCCTGCACTGCCTTCACCAACACCGCAGCCTGCCAAGCTCCCAGTAAACCCCAGCACAGGGGCCCTTGGGTTCTCCTGGTGCTCCAGGACAGCAGCTCCCACCCGGGGCCCTCATGCTCGCCCTGCTAGGCGAGCGTTTCCCCGGCATCTCGCAGCGCCCGTGGCCTCCGGCACTTCCCGGCTCCTTCCCACTGCCCAGYGGAGCGCCCGGGACCGGCTCCATTCCCTCCCCACTTAACCTGCGCCCCACCTCGTCCCCCACGCCGCCCTGCCCCGGGCAGGCCGCGGAGGACGCACACGCCTGTCCTTGTTGGTTTTGGCTCGGCGCTAGCCGGCTGCTTCCAGCAAGAGCGCTATGAATAATTGCCCAATTAACCGGAGGAACTTCCAGATGTGCCTTTGCTTTCATAGCCATGCGGCCCCCCCCAGCCCACGTGCCCAAGGCGGCGCAGAGCGCAGCAGCAGCAGCCGGGCCAGCGCGCCGCCCCGCTCCGCTTCCCGCTCCGTCCCCACCTCCCGCCCTCTCTTGAAATGGGGAAATGGTCTTTTTAACGACCCCCGGGGAGAGGCAAATTTGCCCTGCCTGCCAGAGCATGGTTAGGCATGCCAAAAGCCAAGCAAGCAGAGCAGAAAGCTGATCCCATGTTATGATTTTTATCAGGTGTGCATACACTGGATCCTTTTAAGGCAGGTATATTTTGGTCTTTTATTTTTTTCCCCCCCTTTTCCCATTTATCTTGCTGTAAGCGGAGGTTTTAGTATCACCCAGATGGTTTGCACCCTGCGGGATGCACTGAAGCCCTTACGGATTGCAGGGCTCCTCTGTGGGCAGTGGGATCCAGCGCTAGGATTGCYGCTCAACCACATCACCCTGTCCAGGAAAAAGGGGTCTCTCCCCAAGCTCTGACCTGGGCACGGGGCACCTGAAGCAGCTCCGGAGTGACCTGGACACCTCTCATCCGAGGTGTCCAAGACAAAATGAGCTCGTTCGCCCTCAGGAGGCTTCTGCCTCTCTCCTCTGTGCAGCACAAATGGAGGAATTACAGTAGATGGCAAACCTGGGGAAACGAATGCCACCCAAGAAAGATGAGAGGGGTCCTGGTGAGAGGCGTGCAGCAACGAAGGAGGTAGAAAATAGGGAACTGAACAAAYGCTCAAGGTGGAGGGGGTACAAAACTGTGCTGTTTTCTAAGGACAGCAGGGCCATACCTCTGTCCTGCCTCTTCAGCACGGCAGCCGCGGGGCCGGGCCTGACCTCCCGCACGGTGTTTTGCCAGGGTGGAACAACCAGCTTCCCCTCCGCCGCCTCCCCGCCACCCCACGGGGCTCTAAGTGGGCCGTAAATGTTTCCAGCATGGCACTTTCCCAAGCAGGCCCCGTAAATTACAGTCCCGTGCCGATAATAAGCCGGGTAATAGCGCCACTTTTTTGTCCTGCCAAGTGCACAAAAGGTGGCAGAGGGGAGCGGGGCAGCGAGGGGAGCTGCCCATTAGCACCGGGCCGGGTTTTTTTACGTGCATGGAAATTGTTTGTTCAGCTGGAGGCGAGAACGGTGCTGAACCCGGGGAGAGGCGCTAATGAAAACAGCGCGCGCAGGAGGGGCACAGAGCGGCGATTCACCCCGCGGCGCAGGTGCGCGCGGCCGCCCCAACCCGCCACGGCTGCCTGCGCTCCGGCTTCTTCCCGCACCTCCTGGAAACACTAATTGCAGGATCCGCCTCAGCACGGACGCAGAGCTAGGAGTCCACGCTGGCAAGCGGATTTTRCATCAGTGGGAATCCGCTCCAGCTGTGGACTGTGGGGGCAACTCACCTTCTTCTAACTCTTCACTGTGGGTTCAGTTTATTGTCTGGTCTCCAGAGGGCAAAAGGAACGATATCACGTGCTGCTTTGGCACTTGCTCCCTCATTGCTCCCATTCCGTCGCACAAAATATCCTACGGATGCAAATGCTGGAAGAGCAGAGTCCCAGTTTGCCAGGTGAAATCCCGCAAGTGCCTCAGGAAGCAGTGCTGCCCCCAGGATGGGGCACAGGAACACGGGGGCCTAAGAAGACGTCAAAGACAGTGCAGGGCATAAATCAAGTGCCATTTACGTCTTCATCCGGCTCTGTAGGACGTGCCTCAAAGTCCAAGCAGGATGTGTGGGGGCAGTTGCTGCATGTTTTGGATTAGCTCATGTCACGAGAGAGTACTCTGTGTCCCTCCTTGCAGTCATGTCCTGGCCTTATCCTGAAGGCTGTCCTGCTTTTTGAYGCTGTCTCCTGCCTTCTCCCTGGGACGGGCACTCACTGTGTGCAGAGCAAAAGCCGCCCYGTCCCTGCCAGGCTGGGCACAGGCAGCGTAGCCAGGGGCCTGGAGCTGCGTCTGGCCACTCGGGTGCTGCAGAAGGTGCCTCACACCGCAAGTTCTCCATTTAGACAGCAACAGGTGATGGGAAACGTTTGTTGCTCGATTATCCCATGGTAATTCCTGGTTTTACCCACAGGAGGTCACACTTTGCCAGGCTTCACAAGCTTGCAATGCAAGCAGAATGGCTACTGGCACAGCCCGTTCCTCTAGCCCTGCTCGGGGGTAAGCACCTTCCATGCGCCGTCCTCCTCTGCTGATGCTCTGCCCGCTCTCCTAAAAGCTCCTGTGCACCCAGTCTTCCTCCGTGAAGCCCCTTCCACCACTCGGGCATCACTTGCTGTCCTTCCCTTCTTGCTTTCCCTCCTTTACTTCTGTCATATGAGGAAAGACTAAATGAGCTGGGCTTCYTTAGCCTGGAGAAGACTGAGATCTTAGGGGCTCTCAAACACAGGAACTTATGCACATGTACAAATAGCTGAGGGGAGAATGTAAACAGGATAGGGCAAAACCCTTCTCGGTGGTTGACAGGACAAGGGGCAATGGGTATGAGTTAAAACCCAGGAAGCTCCATCTCCATGTGAGGGTGACAGAGCCCTGAGCAGGCTGCCCAGGGAGGTTGTGGAGTCYCCYTCTCTGGGGATCTTCCCAACCCGTCTGGAAGCGACCGTGTGCTTCAGTTACAAGGTACAAGGTTCAGTTTGGGTCCAACTTCACACTTCAGGAAAGAAATCCTTAAATTAATCTGTATTCCCATGCCCTGGCTTGCTTCTCAATCCCTCAGTCCCAGGTTTATTCGCACACCTTTTTCCTGCCTCAGTTTCCCTTGGGAGACATGAGGATACCAGCACCGTCTTCCCCCAGAGGGGTGCCAGGRCCTCAACACACACTGACTTCAAAGGATTGAAGCTCCCCAGTAACAGGGTGCTCCGAGTATTGAACGCGCCTGGGAGTTTTTCATCCCCTTACCAAAACCTATGGAATTTTGCCCACACATCTCTCYGCCCTACTTTGCTTTGCCCCTTAGCTCCATTCGGTATCTGGGACACAGTTTCTCTGGGAGCCTGCACCCTTGGGAAGCAGCCGCCAGCAAACACGGCCCTGGGTGCTGGGGGTTTGCGCACTCCTGCGCGTTCGTGTCCTCCCTCTGCTGCATCCCTCTCCATGTCAGCCAGGCGCTGCGGGCAAGGAGCGTTATCAGCTTGGCAAGGGCCCGCATGACCAAACTGCGAGCATTTTACAGCGCCGTATAAAAGATTACAGCTTTATGGGTCGCTTAAGCATTCCCGACTGGCAGTGCTTAACGTGGCCGCTGTTTACACAGCCGTAAACAGGCCGCGGCCGCCGAGGGGGGTCATAGCGCTCGGCGGCGGCGCCCCGGGCCGCTGGAGCCCGCGCTCCGCCCCGGG